AGTAGCGATATTCGATTGTTAACGAGAGATGTGCAAGTTGCGAGTAATTGAATTGATGTAATATGACATCAGTCTGAGTTGTATAGGGAACTGTTGATTTTCGCGGTCATTGTTCGCTGAATGTTAGAAATAAATGCACCTCCTTATGTACTTCGCTTTTATCTCTGTCATATGATCCACAAGTTATCTTGGATACATGTTTCTACTAGTGAATTTTACTCGAAGTAAATAGTGTCTATTTGTACATTGTAGGAAAATACCTTGTTTTATTGTCTTCAAGGTATTTAGTAACACTACTATGACAAACATTTCCCTTAAATCTCCTACCTACAGCATTGTTATGTTTACTAACTGCCAGGATTTGGCTTGTTGACATCCTACGTTGGTCTTACCTTCGTTTAGTAATCCATGCATGCATATGTGTCACGATATTTGGTGACTTAAATCCATGGTTGGAGACTGCACGACTCAGAATCTATCTCAGTGATGCAGATTGAACCATACATAATCTTTATCCTAATCATTATGCCAAATTTCGTCATTATTAAGCACTCTCTTCCTCACTTCATATGCTTTTCTACTACTTTTTAGGTATTTCCCTGCCTCTCACCGGCCTACCTTGTATCTTGATGCACCTAATATAAATAGCTTTCGTAACTCAAACCTTCACGCAGTACTGTCTCGTCCGATACTGATATTCATTGGTTAATGACACCAAGTTCACTTCAGACACTTCTTATGTGTTTCAATTTCTGCGATGTAAAATCCCTGTAGTCATATAACTACTTTAATGAGAGTATTTTCTCGTTCTATATCAGTTTGTCTCACTGATCATAGTATTCTAAGGATACTGCCAAGACAAAGACAATGCTCAGGGAGACCATCACCAGAACCGATGGGACCTAGATTATCTATGAGGACAGACGACTGAAACGTTGAACAGAGGACTTTTAAACAATCCAACCAGCCCATAACAACACTTCATTTGCCCAACATCCAACCGAAATCTGAATGTGATGCAGATGTCAGCACTCTGGCTCTCTTCGAAGTTGAGAAGGCTGCTGCTAACGTAAGACGACGCAAAGCAGCAGGGTCTTACAGTTTGGCACCTGAAGTATATAAGAAAGGAGGTCGTAAATTACTGAGTTGAGCAATGAAGATAATAAGTAGCGCATGGGAATCAGAGGCAGTGCCGTCAGACTGGTCTACTTCACTCATCATTTCAGTCTGTCCGAAAGGATGTATGTCTTGTGACAACCATATGGGAATTACCTTGACTAGTATGGAGTCCAGGATCCTAGGATCCAGTTATTCGACACCTAACTGGAGCTCTAGAACAACGAACCCGAGAAAAGCAGGCAGGCCTGGACAAGGATATATCGATCAGATTTTCACTCTCTGATAGGTTCTGGAACACAGGGATACCTACCAGTCAACGTCTAACACTTGCCGTATTTGTTGACTTGAAGGCAGCGTTTGACTCTGTCGACCATGAGGTGTTGTGGCAGTATCTGACAGTGAAGGGAGTACCGAGCAAGCATATAACGCTTTCCAAAGCTTTCTACTCGAACTCACGCAGCTATGTTATGGCATATGGAGAGTTATCATCAGAATTGATGACAACTAGTAGTGTACGGCACGGATACCCACTGTCACAGTTCCTATTTAACTTTGTCATAGACGTACTAATGAATATAACCCTCTGTGCGTCTGAATTCACATGGATTGATGTACTTCCTGGAAGTTATCTGGTTGACTTGGAGTATGTAGACGATGTTGTGCTGCTAAATGAGGACGCTGACGTAATGAAGGGTCATTTGAACGTGTGGAGCAGAAGTCTAAATATGTTTGGTATACGTTTTACTGACACTTGTCAAATATAAGATGGTGTTCCAGGGTTAGTTTTCAACTGCGTAAGATAGCGTTTTTCTTTATGATTGAAGTTAGTGCTGAGCAGAAACAAATGGTTATCACGAAGAAATTGCAACAGACGATAACCGTTGTAGGTTAGTTGGTATAGGATTCTGTAAATACCTCGAAGATGCCTTTCTGATCAGTTCAGCTTCCCTACGTGATCGGTGAAGCTACCTGCCATCATGACTATATCTGAACGTTCCGATTTTTCTAACAAAATTGATAGCTTCTCATAGAATTCATCCATTTCATCATCCAAACTACAATCGGTGGGTGCGTAGACGGAGATTACAAGTAGGTTTCGGTTTGTTTCACGATCCTTCCTAGTTCTAACAGATCCATTTAGTCGAACAGCACATAGACGACTGTTGACTGGTATCCAGTCGAGAAGTGCAGTGTCTATTGTACAACTCAATGCTTTGCCTACCACCAGCGAGTGCATGAGAGCTAGCTATTGTGTCTCCGGATACCCTTAAGGTTAATTTTGAAAATTCATCTCACTGTTCAGTTGAGATCAACTTAATAACCGCACTTGGATCCTGTAAACGTGTATCACTGACACATCACACACCCGTGGCTAGAGATTCCAGAGTTTTAGCGAGCGATGCTTGCTATAAAGTTTGGTATAGAGTTCGGACTTTGAAAGCTCCTACATGAAATCAATACCATGGTCTTAGGAGACTAGGAACGAAGTTTCAATGGCTTTAATCGTTCACAATGGTTGCAAAGTGAGAGGTTGGTGGTGGTGTAAGAGACAATATTAGTATCAGAAGGTGAAGGCAAAGGAGGAGAAACAGGTAAGACGGTAGGTTTTAGTTGATTAAGTTTAGTATACTGCTGGGAACGTGTGGGCGGTTGATAAACAAATCCCATACCACCGGTACTGAAAGGCTGTCGACAAGAGAAAAGCCTACTATTTTTTGGGCAGAGTTTTTCTAATGTTCCTCCCCATAAGGAAGACAGGGAAACACCTTACGATTGTCATATCCCAACCAGCCATCAGTATGACATCATCCTGGGATCCCATCATAGTGTAGCAACTTGCGCTACAATTCCTTTCCGTCTTACCACTGTCCAGAAAACCTTTCTGATGTGGTAGTACCTCGGGAGAACAGGGGTTCATTTTGATATGCTAGCCCAGCCACCACGTCAAGGTAACAGCTATCTGTCAGGAGAACAGTAGCGGAATGTAGTAACCACTTCACTCACCTGGAAAGCTGCACCAGTCTTGCTGATGAAATCTTAGCTCGAATACAGAAGGTTAGTTTGGCGTTTGTCAACTTGCGTCATTTCTGACGCTGACAAGATATCCGACTATCTATCAAAGGACGAATATACATCGTTGCAATTTGTTCTATGAGATATAGTGGTTGAAAGTAGATAGCATGAAGCGATTACAAGGTTTTGACCATATATGTCTTTATACCATTGCTTGCGCTTGATGGAATCATCATGTGAGCAATTTTGAAGTAAGCCGAAGGTTACTGGGCAAGGAAGGGTGGGCGTTCGATCAGGTTGTGAACCTTCACCAGCTGAGGTGGTTTGGACATGCGTTGTGCCTGACAAACCGCTGCCTACCTGCAGGTGCAGTGCTGAGGGAAGGTAGATTAGGTTAAAAGAAGGCTCAGAATGACCAGACTAAGATGTGGCACCAGTCCACGAAGTCTTTGACTGCCGGTTTTAGCAGTCTAAGAAGGTGTAGACCGTCTGGTTGGTTTCCTGGAGCTGGGAAGAATCCGTTTGGAGACTTGGTGAAATGATCGAAAATAAGTCGCAGTGGCATGAATGCGTTCACTCTTTGACATTTTCTAAAGGTTGAATATTTCATCGACTTTAATTTTCCAATTCCTTCTCCCACCTAAACACCTTTTTCTACTTTAATATTGGTCTTTTTCTGTTCACTTGTTCTTTGTACGCTACTGTAAATTGTGTTGAAAATATTCCTGTAAAAGAAATATATCTCTGTAATTGTATATAGGATATCTGGTGAAGTTCTTTTTCCTAGATGATGGACATCTGGACATTATAACATCTCTTGTTTAAATGTATCCACACATTCAGTTGTCGCTTACAGAACCTTCATCGACTAAGATAGTTGAGAAATGTGTTACGTATGCCTAGTCGCCGTTTCCCTTGGCACACTATGCTTGCCGAAGTAGGTTCAGGCTGGAAAATGGCTAGAGACGTCGAGACTAAAGCATGACATCAGTACACGGAGTCGTTGACTAATTATCTTAACCATGTGGGGCAATGCAGACTGGTCGGTTGGTTTCCGCGAGCCAAGAGAAACCAGTGATTGGAGACTGACTCTAGGTGATCACGTGGCTGAGAACCGATGTGAATGGCGCAGATCCATACATACATCATCCTCACTCTTCCTCTCTTTTTTTACTTCTACTTCCTTTGACCTATTTTTCCTTCATCTTCCATTTTGTTGCCTTGTTACTTGATGTGGTAATATGAGGTGTGGCAACTTGGACCGTAACCCAGTAATGCCAGGTCCTATGTTGATTTTGATGATGGTTGATGACACAAGCACATTTGTTCATTATTGCCTATAAAGTCATTAACTTCACCACTTTGTAGTACTATATTTGAAAGAAAGTAAAAACGACACTGATACAAGTTTTTTGTTTTTAAAAGGAAAATGTAGACGAATTAGTTAACATCCTGGTGATTCAGCAAAAAGTACTAGTTGAATATTGAAAGTCGTTGGTATGTAGGAAAATTTCAGGTTACTACTCTTTGTCTCCACCTCAACACGTTTGAATCTTTGCCACTATTTAAACGACCCCAGTAGATAATTTTGTTTTTGGAATGCCTGTATTTATGGACCTGTAGGTCATTGATTTAGGGAGTTAACTTTCAAGCAGTATGGTTGAGTGTTCGTACACCGCTCCACCTTCCGAGAATCTACGCATCCTTCATGCAATAAGTGTTGCTTATTGCCTACTGCACGAATGTGCTTAGAGTTACTGCGATTGAATTTTGATTTTTGACACTAATCCATTTCTCGTTGTGTATCTTATTTTTTGATAAATTATTTACGTATCATCACTTTGTATCATTTACATGTAATCTTCCAGTACAACTTTGTTGGGAGAATCCTTGGCCCTGAAGGATCAACTGCCAAATGTTTACAACAGTTTCTAGGCGTTAAGATTATGATTCGTGGCCGAGGTTCTATGCGTGATCAAATGAAAGTGAGTTGTTAAACAGAAGTTTAATTATAATTTAAAAATCAAATGGATTAGGAAGTCTGCCTACCGATCACATTGGTTGTTATGATGCTTTTTTTTGTTACTATAACGATGTTGTGTCAATGAAGGTGTAATGCATCTTTTTCTGGTTAATACAGTTCGAATGGTAGTGGACCTCAACAACTGAGTAAGAGTCTGTCGACAAGACAATGAATTATATTTCTTATGTCTGGGCGGTGATAATGTCTCACCATTGAAGATCTCTGTGGTTGTGATGAAGTTGGCATTTGTGATCCGCTAGCTTAATATCAGGCTTCTAGACCAATAAGATTAAATGGGTGGTAAAATGTTGATAATTTTACTTCACTAAGATCAATTTGAGGCTAATGTTGCCTAGATCTTTCGAAAGGTGATTTCCTAGCCTCAAAAATGAGATACACTACCCTCTATTCATCTGTGCTACATTCCGATGGAGTTATAATATGTTTTGATTACATTATACTTGATAGATATGAGACAAATTTCTAGCATTTAGCGATTTTCATTGAAAATGCTCCAAAGACTTCAGTTTCTTAACTCCCTTATCTGTGATGAATGTATTTCCTATGCCTATTGTTTATCACAAATGGAGGTTTCTGGATCGATGTTAGTTGCGGTATTCCTGAAAACTTCGATGCTTTAATTACTTTCTGCAACGAAGTATGATGAATATGGTGAATGTAAATGTTTCTATAGGATAATACTTGCCGGTTTACATGATCTCAAATGACAACACTTCACAAACTCTTTCCTGACTAGATTAGCTCATTATTATTATTATTATTTCTTCCCTTGGGCTTCTAGTGGAACATAGGGCTTCAGTAGAACGCCTCCATTCCACTCTCTTCTCTGCAGTCTTCAAAACCCGGTGCCACGACTGCCCACAAGCTTTCATTTCTTCCTCACATGATCTCCATATCACCCTCACCTCGAACGACCAACTCGTTGTTCCCCCTCTGGATTCCACTCGAGGGTCTGGCCTGGCGCATGCTGTCACCAGTCGGCCTTCTCAGTGCATGCTCAATCCAATCCAATCCATCTCCAATTCCACTTCCTCCTGCATATTTCTTGGATGATAGGTTCTTGGTTGGTTGATTCGTTGCCAACCAGAGTTCCTTGTTGCTCATTCTTATCATTCTGGCCATCTGATCTGATCTGATCTTCAGTAACGAGTGAGCGTAGGCGGCAGCTGTTGATGTGATGTATGTGTGTAGTTTGTTGGAAGTACTTTTCGTGACGCACCGAGTTCCTGAACCATCGCATAGCAGTACTGACTTGACTGGATTGGTGTTGAAAATCTCGATATTGTTCTTTGCGCTGAGTGCAGTGCAGTAGATTTGCACACTGATTTCAGATAAGTGAAAGCCTGTCTTGCTGTCTTTCCGATCGTGGTTTTGACATGCTTGTGTGTGCTTGTGCCGCTGCCTGTGATTGAAACGATGCTGCCTAGGAAGGTAGGTGAAAGAGACAACTTGCTGTAGATTTGTCGCATTGATGGTGGGTGATTAGTGTTTGTTGTTGCTGGTGTTGTTGGTTGGGTATCTTCCATCACCTCCGTCTTCTCTACATTCACTTGAAGTTCGGTCTTCGCTGCCCAGCCTTTTCTGTCAACTTGTTGGTTTTTGCCTGTAGATCTTCGAGTTTGCGCAACACGATATTAGACATGAATTATCATCGGCAAATCCAAATATTCTGCGGTCTTCTCATCGGTGAAACAGCGTATGCTCCTCTTCTCGTTTCTCACTGTTTGTTGCATGATCCAGTCGACCACAAGCGGTAAGATGATCGGTGATAGTAGGTGGCAGCCTTGTCTTACTCCTGTCTTCACTTAAGAGGCGTTGCTTTGCTCTCCATTGTTAATCACTTGACATGTGGTGTCTTCATATAGGGCGTGACTTTGGTGCCACTAATAGTGAAAAAAGAAAGTATGACTGAAAACGACCTAAACTTTAACGCTCTGTGTGTGCTGAAAAGTGATATTTTCTTGTACATTTCATAACTTGTGTAATCTTCTGATGTTTTTAATCGAATTTGATGACCTCCTTTTTGTACCATTCAGGTCCCTTAAAATCTTGTAGATTTTTCAACATATATGAATGTGATTATTGCCTGTAAACTGGCTTCTCTCATGTTAAATTACTAATATGAGAATAAGATACTTATCTATTTATAAACTTTTAAATCTAATGATAACACTAGTGATAAAACAATTAAATTATTGAATACAAAGTATAAACCTTACAATTATGAAATTACCTAACACCTTTTATTAGTTTAGATTGAATTTTAAGGTTAAAATTATGTTTATGCCTAGATTCTAAAGGTATTGAAAATAAATTAGATGCAAATATGAAACGTTAATTCACCTTCCTAGGCAGCATCGTTTCAATCACAGGCGGCGGCACAGGCACACACACAAGCATGTCAAAAATCTGAAATCAGTGTGCATATCTACTGCACTGTACTCAGCACAAAGAACAACATCGAGATTTTCAACACCAATCCAGTCAAGTCAGTGCTGCTATGCGATGGTTCAGGAACTCGGTGCGTCACGAAAAGTACTTCCAACAAACTACACACATACATCACATCAACAGCTGCCGCCTACGCTCACTCGTTACTGAAGATCAGATCAGATCAGATGGCCAGAATGATAAGAATGAGCAACAAGGAACTCTGGCTGGCAACGAATCAACCAACCAAGAACCTATCATCCAAGAAATATGCAGGAGGAAGTGGAATTGGAGATGGATTGGATTGGATTGAGCATGCACTGAGAAGGCCGACTGGTGACAGCATGCGCCAGGCCAGACCCTCGAGTGGAATCCAGAGGGGGAACAACGAGTTGGTCGTCCGAGGTGAGGGTGATATGGAGATCACGTGAGGAAGAAATGAAAGCTTGTGGGCAGTCGTGGCACCGGGTTTTGAAGACTGCAGAGAAGAGAGTGGAATGGAGGCGTTCTACTGAAGCCCTATGTTCCACTAGAAACCCAAGGGAAAAAACAAGAATGATAATTATGAAAAGTTAAAAAAAAGTACGTTGGATTTATATATATTGAGTAGTAAGTTTCATACAACTGACGCCCCGTTCGAATAAGTCAACTGGTGAACACATACTATGTTGGTTTTGATTAGTAGTGTGTGCTACGATCCAAATTTTCATTGTACCTTCAAACTATCCAAACGTCTTGTATAGATTCCTAAAGTAATCTGAATGTAAATAATCCGGTTCTGTGTGCTTCTTTTTCTTTTGAAAAATACTAAAGTTTTCATAGGGTTTTGACATAATTTTTTGATCATATTCAATCAATTCTACATTGACTTCATGTTCCTTTGTCCAAATGACTGACTAACTGATTGATAAAATCAACGTAGAACCTTGCACATAGGTACATCGGTTGAAGTTGTCACACTTCACAGTAGTACACAAAGAACAGGTAGATAGAAATGGAGTGATATCAAAGATAGGGGTTAGTATGAATATTCAAGCTTTAGAAGATTTCAAGGAGAGGAATACATTCGCGTCATTATGACCGATTTTCAGCCATGTCACCAAGTGTCCTCAACCACTGATTTCTCTCGTTTCGGGACTCCAACCAGGCAATCCACATCCCCTCAAATGACTCAGACCAACAGTTAGGGACTTTATCGCCTGGTGCCAGGTCTTGGTGTAGCCACCCTGAACCCTTTTTGGTCCTAATCCAACTTACCCTAGCATGGAGCATCAAGGTAGGCGGTGATTGATCAGTCGATTTGCCTATCTTGCCTACTACTTTTCGCCTGACCTCAACATTGCTCACACACTAATTCCGCCAAACGCCAACAATGTTACGAGGACACCTATGATCAAAACCCTGTAACTGTTTCATGTCTTCTACTTTAACGGCCATGTCACATAGTCATACGAAAGAATAGAGCGGACTGTAGAGCAGTATACTCGTCCTTTGATAGGTAGTCGAATGTCTTGCCGGCGCCACAGGTGACTCAAGTTGGCAAACGCAAAACAGACGTTCTGTATGCGAGCCTGGATTTCATCAGCAACCCACTTGTTAGGATGGATGCAACTCCTCGAGTTCGTGAAATGATCGACACATTCCACAACTTCTCTTCTTATCATTAAGTTTGGAGTCGTTGCATACCAGTCATAGAGCATCATCTTAAATTTGATTGGTACCAGTGAAACGCATGCCAAACACACAGATTTCTGCTCAAGGCATCCAGAAGACGCTTCATTTCCTCAGCATCTTTACCTAGTAGCACAATTTTGTCTCCATATTCCAAGTCAACTTGGTGACCTCCAGAGAATTCAAATTGTCTCTTTGCAGTTACTGTCACATCGTTTGGACCAGTCAGTATAACTGGAATGATACGTAAAGTTTTAATAATCTAATTTGGAGTTTTTAAGGATTTATCTATTGATTTCACTTGTTTCTCCAACTGGTGTCAGTTTGTGATGAATACCAACCTGAAATCAATGCATAAATTCTCACAGTTCTCCAAAATGAATTACTGTCTAGCGCTCATTACTATCTCTCTTCGACAGGAGATTTCTGAAGTTCTAATGAGAAGTCATGACCTGTTGGACCAACCAATTCAGATGTGAGAACAGTTACTCAGCGGTGGCTCTGGATGGATGTCGCACTATATTGCAAACTGACAGAAGTAGTGAATGTGAACAATTGTACTCTGACCCTGTGACTCAATGGCAACGGAGTGAATATAGAACCTTCAGGTCCTCGGTTCGATCCGTGGTTGTGTGGGGTGCTTACTGCTGAGGTACCAGATGGACTAACTCCTGAGGTATGCAAGGATGGTGGTAGAGTGCTCTTAGTCAGGTAAACAGAAGTGTTAACTAGTATATGGGCATCAAATATGATCCCCTCTGACTGGTCTAAATCACTAATTATTCCGGTCTTCAAGAAAGGCGAGAAATCCTCTTGTGATAATCACAGAAGAATCAGCCTGACAAACATAGTACCCAAAATTTTACGTTGTATAATTCTTTGACGCCTGAGTAGAGCTCCAAAAGAGCGAGCCCGAGAAAACCAGGCAGTCTTTAGACGCAGCCGCTGGTGTATTGACCAAATATTCACACTGCGCCAGGTCCTGGAACATAGACACGCTTACCGACGCCCGACAACAGCTGTATTTCTCGACCTGAAGGTGGCAGCATTCGACTCCGTTGATCGAGAAGTCTCATGCAATGTCTGTCACTGAAAGGTGTGCCGAGTAAGTACATCACATTATTGAAGGCTCTCTACTCGAACACTTGTGGGTGTGTTGGAGCCTATGATGAGATGTCGAGGGAGCTATGCTCATCGAGTGGTGTCCGTGAAGGGTGCCCACTGTCTCCATTCTTATACAATCTTGTCATAGATATTCTTATGGAGGTCTCCCTCCTTTCACCTGATTACACAGAGGTTGACTTAATCGCAGGAGAATTTTCGTTAGATCTAGAATATGCGTATGATATGACAAAGTCCTGTTAGGTGAAGACGCTGACTGATGAGATGCAGAGTCTTGTGAACACTCACTTTGAGCGTCAATTTGAGAATGATTGGGATGGGGTTCTCACCAGGTGAATGCAAATTGTTGCTTGAGAATTGGTCTTCAACGGTGCCACGGCTAATAATAGAGAGTGGAGTGATTGAGTGTGTCAACCACTTCACTTAGCTGGGAAGTAGGATCAGCCCTGTTGTCCTGGTAAGTGGCCGATGAAATCTCTGCACGGAAATAAAAGGTTCGGTTGGTTTTTGCCAACTTACGCCACCTATGGCTCGACCGTGATATCCGATTGTCTAGTAGTGGTTGCGTGTACTACGCGTGCACAGCAGTTCAGTCTGTTGTAGTGTATGGGTGTGAAACATGGCCATTGAAGGTGGAAGAGATGAGAAGGGTGGCTGTAGGTGTTTGGCCACTGCTGCCTTCGTAGTCTAGGCCGTATTCCGTGGTGTCACGATGTGAGTAATGCAGAAGTCAGGCTCAGGTGTAGAGTTTTAGGGAGGGATTAGAGGTGAATCAGTTGACGAGGTTATGAACCTTGATCGACTGAGATTGTTGGCTCAGACATTTGTTAGGTATGCCTAGTCACTGATTGCCTCGTCACACAATGTTGGCTGAGGGTGGGTCGAGGCTGGAGAAAAGGTTTGAGGTGGCCAGGCTATGTAACATGTCACCAATGTATGAAGTGTTTGACTGTTGGTTTGAGCCATATGGGGCTATGCAGAGTGGGTGGTTGAGGTCCGTGGGATGAGAGGAAGCAGTTGTTGGAGACTGACTCTAGGTGATGATATGGCTCAGAATGGATGTGAGTGGCGCAGAGATGTATACACACATTATCCTCATTTTAACGATGCTATACCGAATCTCACCATTTTCTTATTCTGCTTTTCTCTCTTCTTGTCCTTTATGTTTTTTTTTTGACTGAACTTTCTTTTCTTCATCTTCGACTTCACTGCCTTTTACTTGATGTGGTGATATGAGGTGTGGCAACTGGGACAGTTACGCAGTAATGCCTGGTCGTGTATTGATTCGGATGGAATGGATCAATGGCACTACTGAGAAGTCCCACACTAGGACGAAACAGTTGTTGAATACTCCCAGGTTTCTAATAGTTCTTTAATTTCAACGTTAAAGTCGGTAAATTTTTGGAATACGCACAAGGATTTGATCATTCATTTCACTTGAACTTGAATGTAAATTAAAGTCACTGCTACCTACATAGTCACTATATAACAGTTATTTCATCGTCATAGGGATATCGCATGGTTATCCTTATTGAAATTTCATCAAATTTTCTCAATACAACACTTTGAAAAAATGAGGGAAAAAAAACTAACAGCCTAATATCTACTGGTTTTCTTAACGTTGACTGAAGGCCAACACACTTGTTTAGCCAAATGTATTATCTTATTGTTAACTAATCTATAATTAGGAGGTTGATGTTAGGACTGACCAATCGCTTAGGTAACCAAACTTATAATATTTTTATATTATCATTATAGAGCTTAATCCTTATTTTGCTCCCTTTCTGTGGCATGTTGCTTATTTTTACCGCAGTTTAGAATGCTAAACGCTGATTGGTCCATTTCACGCTTTGAATATACTGTTTTGTTTTCTCTGGCCAAGACCATTTAAGGATATATAAACGATTGAATTTTCACTTATTCACAATTCGGTTAGAGTAAATAAATCTTCAATCTTATCGTCTTCTTCTGGTGTCAGCTGAATATCGAGTTGAGAAGTCATTGTTCTATTGTTAATCATATTCGTCTCGGAGCATCGCATCTTTATATATAAGATAGCGTAGGATCCTAACAGTTGCGTATTCATGTTTATACATTTGACTAATGTTTATGCATTCCTGTTTTTTTTTTCTATATGATGTTTTTCTCAGGAAGAAGCATATATTGGTCGACCTAATTGGGAGCATTTAAATGATAATTTACACGTTTTAATTACTGTTGAAGATTATGAAAATCGTGCAAAGGCTAGAATTGAGAAAGCTAGTGAATATATTAGTCTATTTCTGGAAGAAAGTATTAAGGTGGTGAGTTGGAGTTATTTTTAATTGATTGTTTCATGATTAGTTGGTTGATAATGTAGAGAGTTGTTTGATTACTGACAAATTTTAATCACAAATAAGCATCTTTTGAGGTATCAACTTTTAAAGACTAGTATGGACTGTATTGGATATCTGTTTTGTTTTAGTTTTCATGAGCTCATCAGCAATTCATACCCACAAATGATCGAGTCGATAACCTTTAAGTCTCACAGTGGTTACCGTATCATTCAACCAGTAACTTACTTTATTTTTATCATTTCTATGGATCATAGTTAATATTCGAGTACTGAAATATTATTAACCCTTGCGTTGATTTTTTAAGTACACCATTCTTCTACTCATTTATTTCTTTATTCTAGTATCGTAAATGGCATTTTTGTAATATAATGGAAAGTACAATTCACTAACAAATAACACCTTTGTATAGCAACTTGGGATTTTTTAAGGGGATACCTATTTGACAAGTCACTTATCATTTCAATATTCCTCTTCACTTGTCCTGAAAACCTTGTCATCAGTTCATCAAATTTCTTATTGTTGATCTGAGTCATGTAAAGAAGTTTATACTTCCCGATGGTTGGGGGATACTCTGGGTAATATAGATCAAAGTTGAATGTAGTGGCATAAATGGAATACAAATAGCTTTATATATATATATATATATATATATATATATATATATATATATATATATATATATATATATATATATATATATATATATATATATATATATATATATATAGAAAATTAAACCAATCATATCGACTTATCCATTAATGTGATAAATCATCTTAACTATCTGATATAGCGACCGTATTTTGGCAGACTAGTATTATTTATACTACATGATGATTGAAAGTGAAGTGAAAATTTGAACTGCAGCCGGATTCGAACCAGATGACAATCAATATGATACTCTGCTTCTCTAATTCAGTTAGATTTCGATTAGGATGAGAAATCTTGACTAGGCTGCAGCCAGTGTGAATACGATAGAGTGTTAGTAACGCGCCACGAGTTCACATGGTAGTCGGGGAAAACCCTACTTGTGATTAAACTGAAATAAGAATCTAGTCAGTGGTCGTAGCTCAGTTGGTAGAACATTGGGTCGGAAACCCGATGGTCGCTAGTTCAAATCCCGCGGTGGCTCAAATTTTCATTTCACCTTCAATCATCACCTAGTATAACATGATAAATGTTGTAAAATAACGATGGTAATAATAATGTAAATACTGATAATAGTGATAAACGCGATAAGGTCGACTAAAGCATATGGAATATAGATGATGATGAGAACCAAGGAAACAGCATGAAAATATAGACACTGTAATAGTCTATGTGGGTCAAAGGTTGAGAAAATGTGGGTTATGCAATTGTGAAGGCCTAGGTAAGTGGCTAAACAAAGTATCGACAAATACAGTAAGTATATAAAAGGGGTGAAGAATAAGAAAAGGGGTAGGAAAAAAAGCAACAACTGAATGAAAAAGTTATTAAGTAAGTATTACGTGGCGAAGGCTGAGATAAGGGAGGGATGTACAAAGTTATTGTGGATACAAAGACTAGGATTATTAGCTTGAATGCTTACATCTCTTGGTACGTGTTGTAGAAGATGAGTTTGAATAGGTTTTAAAAGATGAGGTGGTGGTATGGGATGAATAAAATGGGTATAAAAAGGGATTGTTCTTATCTACCAAGTGACCACTATGAACGAGGTGATGCAAAATATAAGTTGTGATGGGTTTTATTTGTCCTTTTGCCAACCATGAAGTTGGATGTTCAGCAACACGTTTGTTACGTTGTCTAGTAGTATGCCCTATATAGACAGCTTTCTGGACAGGAGAAGGTAAACTTGTCAATACTCAGAGAAATTGAAAAGGTAGATAGATACCTTATGTTTTGTGTGAGCAAGAATAATTGGTTGACAGGAAAATGATAGAGAGAGTTATTGGGCGTAGAAGGATCTGTTAATGGCTACACCTCGATTAGATTGGAATTTGATAAAGAACTGTTTTTTTCTGTATGGTAGTAATTTGAGGTTTGTTCCCCATGGCTTTGTGGATGTCTGTTTTTATGAAACTGTTATGGTAGCTGATTTCGACCAATGGATTACGAATATATTGTAACTGTTTCTGTACTGGATCATCTGAACATATTCTTCTCCATCTGTTAGTGACGCATGAAATCAGGTTTGCTTTGTACCGAATAGGGTAGTCTTAATGTAAGCACATCTACTTAGCAAGACATCTAAGAAGTGAGTAAAGGATGCACTTCATTAAATACTCTTTATATCTCGTTTGCCATCTACATTTTGATCCAGAATAATGAATGTATCGTCAATATAACGGTGATAAATATTCATCTCATAAATAACATCTTTCAATACTCCGTTCTACTGTTTGGAAAGAAATGTATCAACTAAAATAGGACCCAAGTAGTGAAGAGGATGCCATTGAAAACAATATTGTTCGCTTATATATCTTGTTTATATGGCCAGAAAGTATAAGCAACAAGGAACTCCGGCAATGAAACCAACCAAGAACCTATCACTCAACAAATATGCAGAAGAATGTGGAGATGGATTGGAAATGCACTGAGAAGACCACTCGGGGACATCACGAGTCAGGCCAGACCCTCGAGTGGAACCCAGACGGGAAACGGCGATTTGGGTGTCCGATGTAAGAGTGACATGAAGGAGATCATGTGAGGAAGAAATGAGAGCTTGTGGGCAGTCGTGGAGCCAGGTTGCAAAGATTGCAGCGAACAGAGTGGAATGAAGATGTGCTACTGAAACCTTATGTTCCACTAGGAACCTAACGGACAAATAATAATATCTCTTGTTCTAATTTACATGAAAATAATTTTTAAAACTCAATTATGCGTGTGAAACAATTAGTCCATATTCTAAATTTGGATAACATTGTTATAAGAAGACGTAGATTATTTGAAATATGTATAATGTATTTGCTCCATACATTTCGAAAAATTGGAGCACGCACATTTACTTGTCACAGGACATTTTATATGAAAAGTGGAAGCGGGGGAAGGATGAAAATGACATAAAGGGAGTTAATCATAAGAAAGGTAATGAAGGCAGAATGGTAAGATTTGAAGACAACTTCGGTAATACAACAAGATAAACATCATCAAGGTAGGTTTACCGTAAGACCGAACTGTTTCTGGAACTTAAACTTGTGTATGGTTAACGCTTTAACAAACCTAAGTACTCACCCCTTACAGTTTCGATACAAGATTGTAAAGTTTGTTTTAGTAATAAAACTGTAACGTTTATCAATAATACATTTTGCAATGGACGGTGATGGTTATCTGCCACCCGGATTTATTAATGTTTTTGAATCCAACTGCTTATGTAATCATTTTGGTACATGTTCCTCCCACCCATTTACGAATCTGATTAATAAATTTCTTTCTATGATGCAACAACTCTTCATGGATTCAACTAGTGTTATTCTGATGGTTGTATGACATTGGAATTGTTTGTTTCGTTTTCGCTTCCTCTTTTCTTATGGCTCTCTATGACTTTTGGTTTTATGATTTTGATTTCGATATGTTGATATGAGGTATAGCCGCTAGCACCATTACTCAGTGATGCCGGGTACTATATTGATACTGACTAACTGACTGACACTTGGTTGTACCTTCGATTATGAAAGCTCAACTTGGATACAGATGGCTCGTTTGACATTTGCTAATTTATATCATTTTTAGTCTGGCTGAAGAGATATCCAACTACATATTAAAGGACGAGTGTACTGTTCCACAGTCCATTCTGTCCTGTTATACGAATGTGAGACATAGCTGTCTAAATTAGTAGATATGAAGAGATTGCAGGTTTTTGATTGTAGCTATTGTCGTAGCATTCCTCACCTATGGTGGAATCACCATGTAAGCAATGTAGAGGTTAGGCGAAGCATACTAGGTAAGGAAGGAAAGACGGTCGATGAGGTTGTGAACCTTCATTATGTGAGATTGTTTAGGTATGCGTTGTGCATGCCGAATCACCCCTTACCTCTAAGTAAAATATTGGGGTAGTTGTATTAGATTGGAAGAAGGCGCAGGGTGGCCAGATTTAGAAATGGCATGAGTCCATAGAGTTTCCGAGCAGTTTAGAGAGGTGTAGACTACGTTGCTGAAGGTCTCAAGACGACGAGAGTCAGTGGTTGAAGGCTGTTGGTGATATGACTGAAAATAGGTCACAACTTACGCCATCTGTTCGATTATCTATTAAGGGTCGAGTGTAATGTGCTACAGTCCGCTCCGTTCTATTGAGTGGCTGTGAAACATGGCCATTGAAATGTAGAAGACATGAGATTTCAGGTATTGAACCACAGCTTCCTTCGTAGCATTGGCTGTGTTACGTGGTGTCACCATGTTAGTAACCGAGGAGTCAGACGTAAAGTTTTAGGCGGGAAAGGTAAGCCAGCTGACACGGTTGTGAACCTTCATTGACTCAGATGGCTGAGACATATGTTACGTACGCGCACCCACCATCTGCCTTATTACACAATGTTGGCCAAAGTAGGTTCAGGCTGGGAAATGGCTCGAGACGGCCAGACTAAAACATGGCATCACTGTATGGAATTCTTGACTGTTGGTTTGAGCCATATGGGGCGATGTAGACTGGGTTGTTGGATTCCGTGGGACAAGAGAAATCAGTGGTGGTTGGAGACTGACTCTAGTTGATCACATGGCTGAGAACTGATGTGAGTGACTCAGATGTATACACACGTAGTCCTCATCTTAACCCCTATGCTTAATTTCATAATCTTCTCATTCATCCTCCCTCTCTTTTATCACTTTCTGCTTCTACCTCCTTTGACTGACTTTTCTTTCCTTCTTCATCTTCCATTTTGTTGCCTTGTTACTTGATGTGCTGATTTATGAGATGTGGCAACTTGGACCTTTATGCAGTAATGCCCGGTCCTATAGTGATCTTGATGATGGTGATGAGGTCACAATGGTACAGA